GAGAGGCTGATTGTTGCAGTGCTTTGTTGTAGCCGTTTTCTACCTCTGTCTTGGACAGGAGCAGCGCTGAACGTAAGCAAAAGCCCGGCCGTTGCTCAGGTCGGATGGGGCACTCAGTCCCTTGAGCGTTGGTATCTCGTGGGCCGACTGAGGTGTAGATTACTCTTGAGAACGTGTTGTGTGTAGCGCGAGCATCCGGAGGACTTGTCTTCCTGAAAGCGGAGTGGCTTTGGCTGGCGATTGTGAACTGGGAGAGTGCTGGGATTAACCAGGAGTACTTGTGGAACACCGGTACGGCTGTTAGAGCTGTTGTCCTTTTATCATTGCAACTGTTTGGGCTAAACAATGTCTCTGAATTGCTTCTTTGGCAAGGAGAGGATTGCAGTCACTTTCATGTTTTCTATAAATAGGAGATTGCTGATCTCTGCAGCGGGAGCGGAATTAAAGTGTGTTTCACCCTGGCTGGTGGCCTGACCTACCTTGATTAACACCTGATAGTCCATTTGAAATGGTAGCCACTTTCATCTTAAAATAAAACAGTGCAGGTGCAGCAGAACACCTGGAAACAGACCAGTAATTCAGAATAACCGGATCTAGAACTTGGACGAAAAAGCTTTTGTTTGTGAAAACAACCTCCAACAGCTTTTGGACCTGCTGAAAAATGTCAGCCAAGGTATTAAAGATGCTCACCTTCAGCAAGCTTTATAGAAAGAGGTGCCCGTGGAGAATAAGTGGGAAATTTGGTTTATGCACTGAGTGAGGGGACCGTTGTGCAGAGTTCAGGTCTTACAAGACTCCGGAGAATCCACGAACGACTGCTCCCACAACAGGAACAATTTCTTATAGTGCTGCACCCTAGTAAATGCGAAGGTGGTTTGATAAGCCACAAGGCTCTCATCTCCCTTTGTGCGAGGTGAAAGCATTGTATAGCCTGTTTCTTCGGTGATCCATCATGGGCTTTTCTTCATCTCTGACCGCGTTCGTTGGCTTTTAGACTACAACTTGGCAATGGTTTGCTGATTCTCACTGCTGATGGGGGGTGCTTTCTCGCCGTAGCCATCCTTCAGAAGGTCTTCCTTAGATCTGTTTGTGAGCTGTAGATCTGAAGCCACCCATCTTTTGCTTTAGGGTTTCTGCAGTGTTTTCACTTGTTGCAGATCAAATCTCCTTTTGCTCAGCTCCTTATTTGCAGCTGCAAAATATCTCGGTGGTAACTACAAGCCTTCCCCTGGGAGAAATGTTTGGGAAAGTATTTGGTGTATTTTAATCTGATAGTTCAGCCTTTGGAAACAAGCAGCTGGTTCCAAACGTGTCTGCCTGGTATTTTGGCGATGCTAGCCTGACAATCTCCCATTTTTGTGGTCTCTGAAATAATCCAGTAAGTTTCTATGCTTTCTGTTCTGTGTACAGCCTTGCAAACACGCATTTATTTATCCAGGAAAAATTAGAGGGCTTGATTAGTCAGGGCACGGTTGAAACTTAGCAGTGGTAAGGGTGTCAGGCTCTGCCAGGCATCCTAATTTCCTCTGAATTGCGGCTGTCCGCACACAGTGCTTGCAGCCTCTTACTGGCATTGCCATGCTGAGAAAGAAAGAAAAAAGCAGTACTTTGGCCTTTGATAGGAGTATGGGGGCTCTTCCCTACCTGGGTTTAAAGAGCCTTGTTTGGTTTGGTTTTTTTTTAAACTTGGGGTGTGGGATGGCTCCTTGCAGAAAGGAGAAGGGAAGGTGAGGCTTAGGAGAGCACATGGCGAGAGCAGGCCCGGGAGGGAATTACACTTGCAAAAGTATTAGTGCAGTTCGTAATAAATGGAGACTGCCTTTCCAAGTCCTTTAAATTCCAGTGCATGTGACCATGGAAACAGCACTATGTCACTCTGTGTTTGGTAAATCTTTCAAGCACTCCTTATAAACCTAATAAAACAGGCTTTCCAGCTGGTCCAGTAAGAACTTTAAACCCAATTTCCATCCTCGCTTTTGAAGCAGGATTAAGTAGCCATTTTCTACCGGTATAAATTTCGTGTGTGAATTTCTGTGACTATTAACTCCTTAAAATACTTTACTCGGTGAGCTGTTGCACTGAGATATGTTGCCTTAAAATAGACTTAATTGCACTGAAGTGGAATTTCCCGGGAAGCTTGAGCCCTTCAAAGCTTTCTTGGAAAAGGCTTTCTATTCTCTGTTAAGAAAACCTCATCAGTTTTATTTTTCTGTAACTATCTTGAAGCTCTGCTTACTGTTAATTTTATGTCCTTCTTGTCCTCTGGATTAAAAAGGGATGGGCAGCTTTCTTGCTGGTGATATTTGGAGGTTTTGTAGGCACTGTGAGCCAAGAGACTGATTTTTCCTATCAAGCGGCCATCGTGGTGTTAACAGCTCATGGATCAGAAGAGCTTAAGTGATGCTTTTACCCGGAGTTAAGCCATCACTCTGGGATTTTGAGTTTTTGTAGTTGTTTGCTGAACAAAACAGGGTAAGGACTAGTTATTGTACAATGAGATGAGTGTTAAAGCACACTAAAATGAGATTTTTTTTTTTTTTTTTCTTGATAATACTTTCTTACAAGCCTTGGATGTCTAATGTCAAATAGCGTGTAGCAATATCAGAATTCTAAATTTCTGTCTTTTTTTTTTTTTTTTTTTTTTTTTAAAGGGGTTTTTTTTTTTTTGGGGGAAGCCACAGGCAAGCTACCATTCCACCTATTGATTGTTTCTCCCTTTTTTTTTTTTTTTTTTTTTTTTTTTTATAAGGAGCTTGCTATTACTTGGGAGAACCTTGAATCTTTCCAGGAAAGATTTGAACTACAAAAGTTAGGAAATGCACATTTAGTAGTGGTTTAGCTTTCATAACATTTCACTGCAGGTTATCAAGGGCACTTGCATGGAACTGGGATAGAGCTTTAACATCAAATCGCTTCCCACCCCACCCTGTTGTTTCAAGATGCCTGTTGGTAGTGGCTCTATCGTGACACTGCGCTGAGACCGCACTGGAAGCGATTTACTGATCTACTAGGGAAAACGCTTTGCGAAAAATCAGCACCTTCTGGAGGAAGAGGGGACGTCACTGTGCTAGTACTGCCGTTGGAGAGCACCACGGAGAAATGCCATTTGGGCAGGGTCCTCTGCATGTCTCCTCCCTTTCTGATGCAGTATAAATACCTTCAGTGACACTGAATTTAATCTAGCTGCAATGCCTGCTGCGCAAAGTGTGCATTTTACTGATTCTGCGGCCAGGTGAGTATTTGTTTACGTGGAAGGAGCTGGCCATTTGCAAACGGCAGGCTATGACCACACTGTTTCTGTCATCTTATAAAGATCTCTTAACTTTCTGATCAGCTGAGAAAACATACTGTTCCCTCCCCGCTTTGGTGTAATTACCAAACACATACCCACTTGTGTACACACGCAGAGCAGTGGTTGAAAGCCTTGATAGCTCTGGCAGGAGGGATAGACACGGGGTGACCTGCAGGCTGGGTCTGAATTTCCAGCCTCCGGCGGAGCTCTGGTTTCACCAGTCTGCAGAACGGCTGTGCTGGGTCGGCTGGCTGTAGCCCAGCACTAAACAGCTTGTTTGTGCTGGGCTGGATGTACTTTCCTGCAAGCTTGTCTGTCTGCTCTCGGGCTAATTGTGCTTCCTCATCCCGCCTTGCATTGGATAACGCTTAGAGCTTCCTCCGGCTTTTGCTGCGGAAGTTAGCGTGCGTTAGTTAACGTTGCCACTGACCTCTGCATCTTTTAATGGAGGGCAATGTGTTTGTTGTACCTTCTGCCCGCTCTTACCTTTATTGAACTTGCCGCTTACCCGAAGCGATGTTATGCAGAACGTGTATTCCCCGTAGGCAGGCTGACAGTAAGCTTTCTGCCTGCTTTATCGTTGTGTGCATGTACCACAAGTATATTTATAGACAGGAGGAGGTTGAATTCATTCAGGGAAACTTCTGCTTTTCTCGTATATGAAAAATGAATCCTTGGTTTGCAGCAGGTTACCAGCGTTAGGTAGTGGCATTTGGCAGCCACCATAGATTGCTAATTCAAGGAAGCTCGACCAAGGATAAGTTTCATATTTAATGATTCGATGAGGGCCTTCACAGACACACTTTTGCATCAAATCTCTGGCAGGTGTTTGGTATTGCTGAGGAAAGCTGGTGTTTGATCTGTGGTATAGATGTCTCTGATGTCAAGGAGGGTTGTTTTCCGTGCCGAGATCTAACGGGGTCACTGCAGCGGGGTGGTTGTGGTTGCTGATGATTTTTTGGGATATCCCTCCTCTCATTTCCTCCTTCTGGTCTTCTAAGGATTTCTTGCACTGAGATGTTAGTACTTGCTTTTTTAAGTTTCTTAGAAGTTTGGCATTGACTTCCTGAAAATGAAATGAGAGAATCTCATTTTCTGCTTCAAAGCTGCCTTTAAGATCTTTGGACTGCTTTGTTTTCAGGGTGTTCTGTAAGCAATCAAAGGCGTTTGAGCGTACAACAGACCCATCTCAATCTGATCTGCTTTCAAGTGTAGCCATATTTGTACATGCTGATGCCTGTTTTATGTCTCCATTTCATTCTTTTTAAAGTCGGTGACCTTTTCTTCAGGATCCTAATAAGCAGTTTTCCCTGTTGGATACCTCCGTGGGAGTAGATAATTACTACAGACGATCATGATTTGAACTAAACGGGCATACAGTCCCAGCTGGAATGAGTACGTCTTCCACATTTCACACTATTTCTGGTCTGGGTGTAAGCATCCGTAACTTTGCTGTGTTTGTGCGTTCCTTATGGTGTGCTTGTTGCAGGCATCGCTTGTCAACTGTGTTAGATTCCCAAGCTGCAGTATAATTACATCTAGTTTTCTGTTTTCTCTTCAAAGCAGCAATAAGATTCTTGGACTGATGTGGCAAGAATGCACCTAATAAGATCTCATTTTTGCTCAAACAGTAGATATCAAGATCACGGGTAGCAAACACCTTTGTGCCAGAGTTGACGCTATTATCCGTGTCGTTGCAGAATACGGCGTCTGTGAGAACTTGCGGAAATTGGAGATCACGGGAGTGTCCTGTCGAGATGTTTATGCCAAACGTAAGTGATAAAGCTGATATAGATCTGTATGTCCTTGCTTAGTACCAATTTTGAAAGCATATACCTGTTGAATGTTTATTAAACTTTGACAGTATAAGTTACTCGGACTTACTTTCTAATGGCAGGGGTTTCATCTGTGAAGTTGACGTGTTTAGGGTTTTATTTAATACTAAGCAGATGCCAAGAATTGGGTTGTCTATGTCCCACAATCCTTTGGTAGGAAAAAACCACGTGCTTTAAATTTATAATAAAGTGTATTGAGGGGTTTTCATCCTTTCCTGTTTTGCCATTTTTAGATCTTGCTAAGGAATTAACTGATATTTTTCATAGCTGGAGGCTTCCTATGCCCTCATGTAGCTAGGTCTCGATCTCGGTGAAAGGACACGGTTACACGCTGACAGCGGGAAGGTGCTGTAGGTAACGGGATGAGCATTCCCCTGGGCTGCTCCTGAAGGAGGAGAGCCTGGCAGGGCTGGGCCTCTGCTGAGGTGTCGGTGTGTTTTAGGAACATCTGTGGGAGTGGGACCCCAGCTCCTTAGACCCAGTGTGCCTGCTGCAAGGCAGATGCACATCGTCTGTCTTATAGCGGGGAGAGGGCAGGGAGCATCATCAGAGGAGAGAAACCAAGGCAGGCTAAGGACTGAGTGGAGGCCTGGATCCATGGTGAGGCTGTCTCCCCCATCACCAAATCTTACCCTTTGCGGTCAGAAGCTGAGCTGGTTGCTCAGAGAGCCTCGCGAAGCCCCTAAGAGCAACCGTACCAGCACTGCCAGGCTGTGTTGTCTTGGCTCCCCACCACAAATTTTGTACGGGAGTTACCTGTGGTCTGTAGGATAAAGAGCAAGATTTAACCTGCAGCACAGGAACTATGGCTTCTGGCTGTTCAAATAAGGTCCTGCTTTATGAAACAAAAGCTGTAATTGTCCCAAGTTACAGTCATGGGAGGTCTCTGTAGGCTTTGCAGATCCAAACTCTGGCTCAGCTTCTACATGTACTGTATTTGCTGAGCCTTGAAGCAGTAAAGACCTCAAGCATTGATCTTAATGCTGGAAAAAAGAATGTGTAGAAGGTTTTTAATCCCATCTGTAATAGACTTGCTGAGCATCCACCGGCAAATTATTTCATCACCTAACGTCCTTCTTTACCTCTTTGTGCGCTAGGACTGGAACTGCCTGATTTTCCTGGGTGAGAGGGCTGAACGATGCTGAGCCGGCACTTAGATGTCCCCAGAGAAGTCTCGTTAGCACATGAGGCCTCCTTTACTTCCCATTCAATCCGGTATCTCTGTGTGATACTGGTGTGGTAACAGCCATACAGCACATACCATATCAGGTCTTAATTCTGCATTACCAGTCTTAAATGGCAGAACATCTCTTCATGACCTGTAGTCTTTTTCACTACAATAGTTCCATGGTTCAGATAATACTAAAGTGATATTTAGTGCTTCTTTATACCCAAGTTATGTGTAAAAATGGCCTTACTGGCTCAGAACGATGGTCTCTCCCTAGCCCAGTACTGTATCTCCCAGCCATGACTGTGAGCAGTCACCCAGGGAAGACCGAGAAGAGGGCAAGCCTGGGCGATACTTTCCTAAGTACTCTCCCAGCTTCTGACTGTTTTCAGGTTGTGGGCTTTCCAGAGTCTAATGTGGTTTGTTGATTTAATAGCCCTCAACGCATCTGTCTTACACGTATGTTTCCAGTCTTCCTTTGCACCAAAGTAGTTTCTGAATCCGTAGCATCCATTGGCAAAGAGTCGCGCTTGCCGTGTGAGAACCACCTCTGTGGTAGACTTTATTGCATTTTGGAGTAAGGACTGTGTCCATATCCATTCAGCAATCCTAACTGGCAGTGGTTACTCTAAAGTCAGAAAGCTTGGTAGCTGTTTTCTGGCTTTCAGGTCTTAGCTCTCCTGCTCAGATTCAGCAGGTTGCCCTGTTGCAAACACTTAGCCGAACACTTTCCTGGTGGTGTGACCCCATTTTTCTTACTGCCCGATAAATGTCTTTAATTGCAGAAGAGTTAATTTGGGGCCACTGGCAGGGCTCACGTGCACTTTTCTGTCCACTGAATGTGCTTCTGTAAGAAGTAGTGTTGGAAATGGGGAACTGAGCTTAAGTGCTAGAAAGCATAACTAACCCAAGGCCTGGGCTGCCATCCATGTAGTTATTTGGCCTAAGTGGTCTTACTGAGACAGCGGTGCTCGTTACAGTCGCACTACAGAGTTTGGGGGGCCCTGATTCCACTTTGAATTCACTGGATGCCATTTGTAAATATTGTCTGTGGGAATCTTGAACGTGCCAAGTTCTCTGTGAGTAATCCTGCTAACCGAGTATACCCGAGACTGGGGCTGATGGAAGCAAATGGCGAACCACAACTGGAAGTAAAGTCAAAAGAGAGTTTGACTTTCCTGCGTGGTTGGTCCCGATTCATCGTACTGTTACGTGCTGGTTACAGTGGAGCGGCGTTCGCTGGTACTTACCCTGCTGTGTCTGTTCAGGTATAAACCCACGAGTGAAGTCGGGGCGTTTTATGAAAATCCTTCCCGACTACGAGCACATGGAGTACAGAGATGTTTACACCTGCCGTACGTACCTCCTGCTGGTTGATGCTTCCTGCACTAAGCACACACAAGATGCTGCATGGAGTGTGACGTTGCTTTAAGCAAATTATTTTGGGGTGGACCTTGGGACAGTACGGAGGGTGCCGGTTAGTCAGTTCTTTGTGTTGCACGTTAGTGGAGCGTTCTGACCCTTTGGAGTGACAATGTGAGTAGGGCAGGCAGTGAGGTATGTTGGTCTCCTTTTGAAGTGCTTTGAGTTAGAAAATGGTCCTGACTGCGCGCAGAAAGGGGGGGTCTCTGTTCACAGTAGGGGAGCACTCACTCTGCTCTTCGTGGATTGCTCCTCTCATAGAAGGAAGTATTCAGATACCCTGGTGAGGGCTCCCCAAAAGCAAGTTTAAATAAGCTTTGGACGGGCCAAAAACTTTGTCTTCATCCAGATGAGCTGCATTCAGTTCCACAGCCCTTCCCGGTGAAAAATGCTGAGGGTTCCCATACTAATTCCCTCCCTGCACGGCAAATTGTTTTAACCGCTATCTCCCCCTCTAGGAAACATTCTGCTGGTGTTTGAGATTGTGATTTGCCTTCCTCAGTCAAGAAGCTGCTCTGAGTAAACTGTTCTTTCCCTCCTGATGTTGTGTTGAGGGAAGAACAGTAAAGCACTGGAGTTTTAACGCTCACTGTTCTGTAGGAGTTGCGGGAAGTACGGATTAGTTTACATCCATTAAGGAAGCCGGTACTGCTTGGTACTTGGGGGGGTCTTGAGCTGTCTTTAATGCTTCTTTGGGTCTGCATAGTTTCACAGACTCAAGTTCCTAACTCGCTGCTGCTTGGGAATGTAGTTTTTCGTACACGCTCATGAGCAGAGTGGATGCTGCAGACTTACCTGTGCTAAAGAAAGCAGTCGAACATGGGCCATGCAGAGAAGATGGTGTCTTTAATGCGAGTCATGACAGACAAGCAGCAGCAGTGCTACAGCAGGAATCAGTAGAAAATTTTAGGTTTGGCAGTCCTGCCTGTCAACGCCAGCCTTGTTCTGGAGCTGGATGGGAAGGAGAGGCACATCCAAGCTGCCCTGCAGGATGAGGGGTCCCTTTGTAGATTGCTACCTGGGTGTTTGCTCCAAACGTGCCGTTTGTGGTGGCTCTGAAATGGCATTTTGTCCTGTTCCCTTAGTTGTTAATCCTTCAGCTGCAGCCCCAAACTTCTGATGTCTCATGCCCCTTTTCTCTTGGGCTGTGTTGTATTACTTGGGGAGCAGCCAGTGTTGTTTAAGATGCAATTGCCCGTTTCCCCCTTTTCCCCTCCTCTGTATTAAGACCGTGTTGCCAGGATTTACCATGTGAGTGCTCCCTAATTCATATTCATGCAGTGTTAGCCAGGTCAGCTCAGATCACTTTCCCCAGGGTTTTAAGCTAGCCTGGCTGACACTTAGCTCTTTCCACTAGCAGGTCAGCTATCACCAGCTGGAGGGCAGTAACTGCTTATGTTGTTCCTACTCGTTTTGCTTCTGGATACCTTGCTGCATCCCGAGAGTCCAAGAGAGTTGTAGCGGATCAGGTCTTTTCCACTCAACGTGAGCTACCTCTGCTTTAAAGAATGCAGATTTCACTGAAAGCTCCCATGTTAGGTTTTTGCATTTCTCTGCCTGTGCCCTCCAAGCTGGACACAGGTAATGAAATAAGATTTAGTTAAAAAACTGACACCTGAAAGCATCTGCTCTCCTCCTGTTTTAATAACCCATGCTGGGGTTGTAACTTGTCTGTTCGTACCCATGGTGTCTGTGGTGTGCCAGCGCTGCGACGCTTGCTTGAATCACTGTGTATGTGCTCGGTGTCCCTTCCTTGTCCCGTATCTAACTCTAACGAAGAGCACAGACCTTTCCCGGGCAGCCTTCTGCTGGTGGGAGCTTGGGCATTCACTGCTTTTCCTAGCCCATCCCCAGCTGGATTCAAGCCACCTTCCCATCTGAAGAGTGTGCAGGGCTGCTTGTGGCAACGTGGGTAATATCCAGGCTGGGTGAGGGTTGTACTGAAGCATCCAGCGGGTGTTTTTTTGCTCCATTTGGCAGGATTGGGGCTCAGAAAGTCGGGTAGGCAAGAGGATTCTTCAGGACTGAGAAAAATAGGCAGTGTGCATAGCAAAGGAAAACTTTGGTGAAAGACCCAAGTGCTGTTTTCTTTGGAGGAGCAGGGAGGGAAGCTGTCAGATCCATCCTGTCTCCTGCCAGGGAGAGACAGAGCTGGGATTCCTCAGGTTTTTCCTGCAATGAATATAGCTGCTGGCTTGCTGGAGCCCAGAGACACCCCAGGCCTGAAAATGGAGCTGTGCTTTTGCTTTGAGACTCATTTGGGCCTTTGGCCAAGTAGCAGCATTTTCCCCAGTAACGTCCTTTCCTGAAAGAACAGGAGGAGAAGGAGTCCACAGCCCCCTGAGCAAGTGAGGGAGACGACGTGTCCGTTGAGGTGTCCCTGCCTTGGCGTGTAGGG